TGGTCTACTTTTTTTCCTATGCTTTTATTTCTTCTGGTGATAGCTATTTAGCCTTAGGAACACTTCTGTCTATAGCAGACCCTCTAAAATACACTGTAGAGATGGTTTGTGGGAGGTAAATTCTCTCAGCTTTTGCTTATCTAGAAATTGTTTAATCCCTCCTTCAAATTTAAATGATAATCTTGCCAGGTATTGTATTCTTGGTTCAAGGCCCTTCTGTTTCATTGCATTAAATTTATTATGCCACTCCCTCTGCCCTGTAAGGTTTATGTTGAGAAGTCTGATGATAGCCTAATGGGTTTTCCTTTGTATGTGATCTTTTTTCTCTCTCTGGCTGCTTTTAATATACTGTCTTTATCCTTGATATTTGCCATTTCAATTATATGTCTTGGTTGTGTCTTCCTTGGGTCCCTTGTGTTGGGAAATCTGTGCACCTCCATTGCCTGAGAGGCTCTTTCCCCAGATTGGGGAAGTTTTCAGCAATTACTTCCTCAAAGACACTTTCTATCCCTTTTTCTCTCTTCTTCTTCTTCTGGTACCCCTATAATGCAAATGTTGTTCTGTTTGGATTGGTCACACAGTTCTCTCAATATTCTTTCATTCCTAGAGATCCTTTTTTTCTTCTGTGCCTCAGCTGTTTTGTATTCCTGTTTTCTAATTTCTATTTCATTTACTCTCTCTTCTACTTCATCTAATCTGCTTTTAAATCCCCTATTATAGGTTTCATTTCAGATGCTATTTTCTTGAACGTTTGTAACTCATTCCTGAATTCCACCCTGAGTTCTTGAATATTTTTCTGTAGTTCCATGAGCATGTTTATAATTTTTATTTTGAAATCTCTTTCCAGGATGATTGATGAGTTCAGTTTCACTTGGTCCTCTTTCTGGTGTTTGTGGGACACCTGGAGCAATGGTGGGGGTCACAGTGGAGTGGCGCTGGTGCCTGTTGGGAGGAAAGAGGAAAGAGGTTTTTCCTGCTTCCCGGCTTCAGTGACTGTCTCCACTGCCAGGGCCTGTGGGCCAAGCATGCAGGGAGAAGCCTCTAGGCTTTGCACTTGTAGCTGCTGTAGGCAGGCCTGCCCTCTGGCTGGCCTGGCACAATGGCGGGGGCAGCCAGTTTGTGAGCTGGTGCCAGCTGGGAGGAAGGTGCAGCAGGCTGCATATCATGGTGGAGGACTTTGGAGCTGTGTAGCCAGCCAGGAGGATGGAGAGCCTGAAGTTCCTAAAAGTTCCCAACCTGCTTCGCAGAGTGCCTTCAGACAATTTTGTCCCCCTTTCTCCTGAGCAGCAAGCTCTGTGCAATCCTTGCCCCTTCAGCAGCCCTCTTGCTCTTAAGAAGTTTCTCTGTCGGCCTTTCTTTTATCCCAGAGAGACTGGATGTGGATCCCTGTTTTCCACAAGCGGCTGGAATCTCTGTCCGTCCAAGTATTCCACCTGTCTTAGCTTTCCAACCCCACTGATCTCCAGAGCACTATGTAATGTAGGTTTATGCTCCCAGAGCAGATCCCCAGGGCTGGGTATTCAGCAGTCCTAGGCCTCCACCCCCTCCCTGTGCTCCATTTCTCTTTTTCCCCACCAGTGAGCTGGGGTGGGGGAAGGGCTTGGGTCCCTCCAGATTATGGCTTTGATATGTTACCCTTTTCCTCGAAGTCTGCTGGTTTCCCCAGGTGTAGACAGTCAGCCACAGCCTTCTTTCCTGTTGCCTTTCCAGGATTTGATGTATTTGTTATATTTTCATATTATATGTGGCTTTGGGAGGAGGTTTCTATCTCACCTCTCACACCACCATCTGTAATCCCACCCTGTGTAATTTTTAAATAAAAGTCCAAATAGTCCTGCCCAGACAATAGCATATTGCTATCCCTATATAAACTACAGTAAGACAGAATTCCTATGATGACTTTGAACTCAGTTCCAATACAGGAAAAAACAGTTGGAAACTGAAGTTTAATAACATGTTATTGTAGTGGTAATCCACTAAACCACTAGATCTTTAAAAAAAAAATTTTTTAATTAAAAATTTAAAGATTTGAGATTTTTTAAATTTTAAGAAAATGTAATAACAAGCACCTTATTGTTTAAACCAAATTGTTGGCCTCATCACTCCCTATCACCTTAAAGAAAATAAATTAACCTTGTCTTTTACTGAGTTGTGTACTTTTTTTTTTAAGCTCAGTCAACCAAAAGATAATAGAAGCAGTTAAGAACAGCAATTTTAAGAGCACAGACTTTGAAATGTTTTGGACCAGATTTACCATTTATTAGATGTATGACTTGGAGATTGTTATTCTTTTAAAATTCAACTTTATTTACAATAAAAACAAAAACAGTTCACCCATTTCTCTTACCTGCAACTCTCTGGCTCTGGCAACCACAAATCTATTCTTTGTATCTATGAGCTTAATTTGTATTTTTTTTCAGATTCCACATATAAGAGAAATCATACACTATTTGTCTTTGTCTGACCTATTTCACTTAGCAAAATGCCCTTGAGTTCCATCCTTGTCACAAATGGCAAGATTTTACTCTCTTTTTTATACCTGAATAATATTGCTGTGTGTGTGTGTGTCAATTTTTTGATCCATTCATCTATCAATGGGTACTGGGGTTGTTTCCAGATCTTGGATGTTGTAAAGAATGCTATGAACATGGGGGTGCATGTGTTTTTTTGTTATTGTTTTTGTTTTCTTCAAATAAATGCCCAAAAGTAAACTTTCTGGATCATATGGTTGTTCTGTTTTTAATTTTTGAGAAATCTCCCTACTGTTTTCCATAGTGGATACAACAATTTAACTCCCACCAACAGTGCCACCATTCAACTCCCACCAACATTCTTGCCAACAGTTGTTATTTCTAGTCTTTTTGATAATAGCTATTCTAACTGGCGTGGGGTGATATTTCATTGTTTCGATTTGTATTCCCTTATGATTAATGATTTTGAACATATTTTCATGTGTCTGTTGGCCATCTATATGTCTACTTTGGAAAAATGTGTATTCAGATCTGTCAATTTTTTAATTGGATCGTTTCTTTTTTTTGCTATTGAGTTGTGAGAGATTTTTATGTTTTTAGATATTAACCTCTTATCAGATATATGATTTGCAAATAATTCTCCCATTCAGTAGGTTGCCTTTTCATTTTCTTGATGGTTTCCTTTGCTATGCAGAAGCTCTTTAGTTGGGTGTAGTCCCACTTACTTATTTTTGCTTTTGTTGCTTTTGCTTTTGGTGTCACATTTCAAATGGCTATGTCAAGGAGCTTACTGCATATGTTTTCTTCTAGGAGTTTTATGGTTTCAAAACTTACGTTCAAGTCTTTAATCCATACTGAGTTAATTTTTGTGTATGGAGTAAGATAATGGTCCAGTTTTGTTCTTTTGCACATTGCCGTCCAATTTTCCCAACACCATTTATTGAAGACACTATCCTTTTCCCATTGTATATTCTATGTTGTTTTGTCATAAAATAATTGGCCCATGTATGTGTGGGTTTATTTGTGGGCTGCTCTCTTCTGTTCCAGTGACCTATGAGTCTGCTTTTATGCCAATAACATACTGTCTTAATTATTCTAGCTTTGTAATATCATTTGAAATCAGGGAGTGTGATGATTCAAGCTTTGTTCTCTTTCTCAAGTTTACTTTGGCTATTCAGGGTCTTTTATGGTTCCATATAAATTTTAGGTTTGTTTGTTCTATTTCTGTGAAAATTGCCATTGGAATTTTAAGAGGGATTGCCTTGAATCTATTGTTTTGGATAAATGGACATTTTATCAATATTCTTCCAATCTATGAACACAGAGAATCTTTCCATTTATTTGTTCTTGTTTTCTTCAATTTCTTTCACTAATGTCTTGTACTTTTCAATATACAGGTCTTTCACCTCATTGGTTAAATTTATTTCTAGGTATTTTATTATTTTTAATGAAATTGTAAATGGGATTGTTTCCTTAATTTCCTTTCTCATAGTTAATTATTAGTGTTTAGAAATGGAACATATTTTGGTGAATCAGTTTTTGTATCCTGCAACTTTACTTAATTAATTTATTAGTTCTAATAGTTTTCAATAGAATATTTAGGTTTTTCTATATATAGTATATCATCTGCAAACAGTGACAGTTTTATTTCCTCCTTTCCAATTTAGGTGTCTTTTATTTCTTTTTCTTGCACAATTTCTCAGGCTAGGACTTCCAATACTATGTTGAATAAAAGTGGCAAAATAGGACATCCTTGATTTGTTCCTGAACTAAGAGGAAAAGCTTTCAGCTTTTCACCATTTAAAATGATACTAGTTGTGGGATTGTCATATATACCCTTTATTATGTTGAGGTACATTCCCTTCGTACTCACTTTGTTGAGTCTTTATCATAAATGTTATTGAATTTTGTCAAATGCTTTTTCTACATCTATTGTGATGATAAGATTTTTATCCTACATTGTGTTAATATGATGATTGTTAATACATTGACTGATTTGCAGATGTAATATATTATTGAATTTGACTTGTGTCTTTAAATTCCCTTAGCATTCATTGACAATTATTGTGATCGAAAAGATACTGAGAAGTTGTTCAAGTCCTATGTGAGAAATCTTTTATAATTGAATGTTAATTAAAAAGTTTATTTACTCTGAAACAACAGATGTACTTGTTCCTCTATAGTAATAAAAATATGTGTAGCTATCATATTTTCCTGACTTTAAATGGAGCTCAGGGCCAAATTTTTGAAGAGTTTTTAACAGCCACTATATTGACTTTTCTGACTTATTTTTAAGTTTCTATTTAAAGTTTGTACTTTTGTTGCATATGCTTTTTGTTAAGTCTCTTCATAGTCTCTCTAGAATGAAGCATGACAAAGTTAATTTACAAAAAAACTGGGAATGGTGGAAATGTGGTTTGATTGACCTAAAGTAGCTATTTGAATAGTTATTATTATGATTTTATATTCTGATAAAAAGTACCCTTTATATTATTCCTTATTTTATACCTTTTTAATGTCTTCTTTCAGAGTGGGTTCCACCTCAACCTGAATATTTCTATCAACCTACAGGAAATGAAAAGGTACCAGAAATTGTTGGAGAGGAAAAAGGCACAGTAGTCTATCAGTTAGATTCAGGTATGGTCATTATACTGAACAGTGAGTGATTAATCATCACAAAATTATAGTAAGTGTATTTCCTGTAATAGAAGTGATTTTTTAAAAATCCATAGTTTAGCAAAGAAAATGAAATATCCCACAAACACATGGAGGCTTAACAACATTCTCCTAAATAATCAATGGATCAATGACCAAATAAAAACAGAGATCAAGCAATATATGGAGACAAATTACAACAATTAATTCAACAATGCAAAATCTGTGGGATGCAGCAAAGGCTGTGCTAAGAGGGAAGTATACTGCAATACAGGCCTACCTCAGGGAACAATAACAATCCCATATGAACAGTCTAAACTCACAATTAACAAAACTAGAAAAAGGAGAACAAATGAGGTCCAAAGGCAGTAGAAGGAAGGACATAATAAAGATTAGAGCAGAAATAAATAAAATCAAGAAAAATAAAACAATAGAAAGAATCAGTGAAAGCTGGAGCTGGTTCTGTGAAAAAATAAAGTAGCTAAGCCCCTAGCCACACTTACCAAGAAAAAAGAGTCTGCACACATAAAGAGAATCATAAATGAGAAAGGAAAAATCACCACAAACACCACAGAAATACAAAGAATTATTAGAGAATACTATGAAAAATTATATGCTAACAAACTGGATAACCTAGAAGAAATGGACAACTTTCTAGAAAAATACAACCTTCCAAGGCTGACCCAAGAAAGAAACAGAAAATCTAAATGGACCAGTTACCAGCAATGAAATTGAATTGATAATCAAAAAACTACCTAAGAATAAAATGCCTGGACCAGATATCTTCACAGCCAAATTTTATCAAACATTTAGTGAAAACCAAATATCCATCCTCCTTAAAGTTTTCCAAAAAGTAGAAGAGGAGGGAATACTTCTAAAGTCATTCTATGAGGCCAGCATCATTCTAATACCAAAACCAGGAAAAGACAACACAAAAACATGCAAAAATATTCAGCAAAATATTAGCAAACCAAATTCAAAATACATCAGGAGGATCATATACCATGATCAAGTAGGATTTATTCCAGGAATGCAAGGATGATACAATATTTGAAAATCCATTAACATCATCCACCACATCAACAAAAAGGACAAAAGCCACATCATCATCTCCATAGATGCCGAAAAAGCATTTGACAAAATTCAACTTCCTTTCATGATAAAAACTCTCAACAAAATGGGTATAGAGGGCAAGAACCTCAACATAATAAAGGCCATATATGACAAACCCACAGCCAACATTATACTAACAACAAGAAGCTGAAAGCCTTTCCTTTAAGATCGGGAATAAGACAAGGATGCCCACTCTCCCCACTTTTATTCAACATAGTTCTGGAGGTCCTCACCACAGCAATTGGACAACACAAAGAAATAAAGGGCATTCAGATTGGTAAGGAAGAAGTTAAACTGTCACTCTTTGCAGATAACATGATATTGTACATAAAATACCCCAAAGAATCCACTCCACAACTACTAGAACTAGTATCTGAATTCAGCAAAGTTGCAGGATACAAAATTAATACACAGAAATCTGTTGCATTCCTATACACTAAAGGTGAACTAGCAGAAAGTGAAATCAGAAAAACAATTCCATTCACAATTGCATCAAAAAGAATAAAATACCTAGGAATAAACCTAACCAAGGAAGTGAAAGACCTATACTCTGAAAACATGAGAGAAATTAAAGAAAATACTAATAAATGGAAACATCCCATGCCCATGGATAGGAAGAATTAATATTGTCAAAATGGCTATCCTGCCTAAAGCAATCCACAGATTCAATGCAATCCCTATCAAAATACCAATAGCATTCTTCAATGTACTAGAGAAAATAGTTCTAAAATTCATATGGAACCACAAAAGACCCCAAATAGCCAAGCAATCCTGAGAAAGAAGAATAAAGCGGAGGGAATTATGCTCCCTGACTTCAAACTGTACTACAAAGCCACAGTAATCAAGACAATTTGGTACTGGTACAAGAACAGACCCATGGACAATGGAACAGACTAGAGAGCCCTGATATAAACCCAACCATATATGGTCAATTAATATGGGATAAAGGAGCAATGGACATACAATGGGGAAATGACAGCCTCTTCAACAACTGGTGTTGACAAAACTGGACAGCTACATGCTAGAGAATGAAAATGGATTATTGTTTCACTGCATATACAAAGATAGACTCAAAATGGATCAAAGACCTGATTGTAAGTCGTGAAACCGTAAAACTCTTTAAAAGACAACATAGGCAAACATCTCCTGAATATAAACATGAGCAACCTCTTCCTGAACACATCTCCTCGAGCAAGGGAAACAAAGGCAAAAATGAACAAAAGGGGCTACATCAAACTAAAAAGCTTCTGTGTGGCAAAGTACACCATCAACAGAACAAAAAGGCATCCTACAGTATGGGAGAATATATTTGTAAATGACATATCTGACAAGGGGTTATTAACATCCAAAATATATAAAGAACTCACATGCCTCAACACCCAAAAAGCAAATAACCCAATTTAAAAAATGGGTGGAGGATATGAACAGACCATTCCCCAAAGAAGAAATTCAGATGGCCAACAGGCACATGAAAAGATGTTCCACATCGCTAATTATCAGGGAAATGCAAATTAAAACCACAATGAGATATCACCTCATGCCAGTTATGATGGGCAACATAGAAAAGAATAGGAACAACAAATGTTAGCGAGGATGTGAAGAAAGGGGAATGCCCCTACACTGCTGGTGGGAATGTAACCTAGTTCAACCATTGTGGGAAGCAGTATGGAGGTTTCTCAAAACACTAAAAATAGAAATAACCTTTTGACCCAGGAATTCCACTCCTAGGAATTTACCCTAAGAATGTAGGATCCCAGTTTTGAAAAGGCATATGCTCCCCTGTGTTTATCTCAGCACTGTTTACAATAGCCAAGAAATGGAAGCAATGTAAGTGTCCATCAGTTAGATGAATAGATAAAGAAGAAGTGGTACATATACACAATGGAATACTATTCAGCCATAAGAAAGAAACAAATCCTACCATTTGCAGCCACATGGATGGAGCTGGAGGGTATTATGCTCAGTGAAATAAGCCAGGCAGATAAAGACAAGTACCAAATGATTTCCCTCATTCATGGAGTAGAAAAACAAAGCATAACTGAAGGAGCAAAACAGCAGCAGATTCACAGACTCCAAGAAGGGACTAGCAGTTACCAAAGGGGAGGCGTGTGGGAGGGTGGGTGGGGAGGAGGGAGAAGGGGATTGAGGGGTATTATGATTAGTACATATGGTGTGAGGGGGATCATGGGGAAGACAGTGTACCATGGAGTAGGGAAGTAGTGACCCTGTGGCATCTTACTACACTGATGGACAGTGACTACAATGGGGTATGGGAGGGAGACTTGATAACATGGGTGACTAGTAACCACATTGTTTTTCATGTGAAACCTTCATAAGAGTTATATCAATAGTACCTTAAGAAAAAACATCATATTAAAAAATCCATAGTTTATTGATAAACCACCTTTTTCAGACCAACCTGAGTGGGAGCCCTACTATTCATGGCCAATCACCTTTAAAATTTAAATTTTTTTTTTAAATGACAGTATCTTTTTCTTAAGATATGTGTATTTCTTATGTCCATTTTGTAGTTTCTTCCTTTAGTCCCTTCCTGAAATCAGATGTTGGATCTTTGGGAAACTTGGTTTTTTTTCCCCACTTCCTGCATGTACTTCGTGAATAGTATGTGCATATGACTGTCATTTACTGTGTAGTATCCTGCATTAATTTGCAGGCTTCATAGAGATAGAATCCATGTCTTTTATAAAAATATGCAGAACACCATACCCAACAACATCAATAAAATATACTTTTTTTTCAAGGACACATGGAAGATTCCCCAGGATACCCCTTATGCTAGGTTGTAATGTAAGTCTTAACACATTTAAAAGGAGTGAAGTCATACAAAATGTATTCTTTGACCACAACAAAATTAAATTAGAAATAAACAACAGAATAACATCTGGGAAACCTACAAATATTTGGAAGTTGATTAACGCATTTCTAAGTAACCAGTGCATTTAAGAAATCATAAGGAGAATTCAAAAATATTGTGAACGGAGTGAAAATAAAACAACATATCGAAATTTGTGAGATGCAGCTAACGCACTACAAGGTAAATTTATGACCTTAAAATGCACATATTTGAAAGGAAGAAGGATCTTGAAACAATTACCTAAACTATCACAGTAAACAATTAGAAAAATAAAAGCAAATTAAGTCCAAAGCAAGCAAAAGGAAGGAAATAATTAAGAATGAAAATCAATGAAATAGAAAACAAAAAAATAATGTAGAAAATCAAACCAAAATTTGGTTCTTTGAAAGCATCAGTAAAGTTGACAAAACTGTAGCCAGGCTAATCAAAAAAGAAGAGGAGACACAAATTATCAAAATCAAGAATGAGAGGAGACATAAACACTCTGCAGAAATCAAAAGAATTACAATGTAATGCTATTAACAAAGTTATGCCAATAAATTAGATGAATAGGAAAATTTTCTAGAAAGACACAAATTACCAAAACTGAGGAAGAAATAAGTCTAGATAGAGTATAACAAAGAAATTTAATTAGTAATCTAAATCTTTCTGCAAAGAAATCCCTGGTCCAGACAGGTTTTGTTTGAATTATATCAAACATTTATAGATGAAATAGTCCTAATTATTCATAACTTCTGAAAACAGAATAGGAGGAAATGTTTCCCACTTCTTTTCATGAAGCTAGTATTCAAAACCAGACAAAGACATCACAAGAAAACTATGTCAGTATTCTTCATGAATGTAAATGTAAAAATCCTCAACCAAATATCAGCAAACCAAATCCAACAGCATACTAAAATAACTATACATCATGACTATAGAGGATTTATTCTGGGAATGCAAAGTTAGTTCGATATAAAATCAATGTAACAAACTACATTAATAGAACCAAGGGGGGGAAAAAACACAATCATTTCAACTGATGTAGAAAAAGCACTTGACAAAATCCAGCCTTTTGTGATACAAACATTTAGAAAACTAGGAATAGAAGAAAATTTCCTCTGCTTAATAAAGGATATATATGGGACTGGATAATAAGGATGAATCTAATAACTACATTGTTTTTCTTGTGAAACCTTCATAAAGTGTATATCATTGATACCCTAATAAAACAATATAAAGGAGAAGGATCCCAGTTTCAAAAAGACGTATGCACCCCTATGTTTATCACAGCACTATTTACAATTGCCAAGAAATGGAAGCAACCTAAGTGTTCCTCAGTAGATGAATGGATAAAGAAGAGGCGGTACATATACACAGTGGAATATTATTCAGCCATAAGAAGAAAACAGATCCTACCATTTGTAGCAACATGGATGGAGCTAGAGGGTATTATGCTCAGTGAAATAAGTCAGGCGGAGAAAGACAAGTATCAAATGATTTCACTCATCTGTGCTGCATAAGAACAAAGCAAAAACTGAAGGAACAAAACAGCAGTGGTCTCACAGAACCCAAGAATGGACTAACAGTTACCAAAGGGAAAGGGACTGGGGATGGTGGGTGGGAAGCGAGGGAGAAGGGGAATAAGGGGCATTACAATTAGCACACATAATGTAGGGGGTGCACGGGGAAGACAGTATAGCGCAGAGACTACAAGTAGTGACTCTCTAGCATCTTACTACACTCATGGACAGTGACTGTAATGGGGTATGTGATGGGGATCTGATAATGGGGAAATCTAGTAACCAGAATGTTGCTTATGTGATTGTATATTAATGATACCAAAATAAAAAATAAAGGATATATATGGAAAGAATGAATCAACTTCACACCCACTAAAAGAGCTGTAATAAAAATATAAACAAGTGCTAGGGAGGATGTGGAACAGGTGATAATAGTACCATTTGAGACAGAAAGGAGATGTAATGTCAAAGAGTGATGAGCCAAGAAATGTAATACAAACTTTCCAAGGAAGGGGAAGTAAATTTTGAATTAATAATGTCAGAATGCCAAGTTAGTAATAGGAAGGGACATGGAGAGGTGAAGAAGCTGCCAAACAAGGGCAACCAAAAATCATCTGATACGCACTGCACACACAGGTACTAGAGCTAATTAGAGCTTTTTTAAAAGAGCCCTCTGTTGGCAAATGTGTTCAAGAAATAGAAAACAAGAAAAATTTTCTCATTTTTCAAAACTTGATCTCTTCTAGATAGTAAAGACTAGAAAGTAAATCTTTGTTTTTAGAGGAGGAATATGTACCATGATTAGTTAGAAATAAAATGTGTTAAGTGAGGGGAGCTTTTTGGAGAAAAACAGAAATAGCTGGGAGGGACTACAGTGTGTTTACATTCCTACAACTAGAAAAATAAAATGTCAGTTATAGCAGAGGACTCAACTGAGGTGTGATTGTGCATACCTCACTCCCAGTTGCCCTGATTATCAGCTCTCTTCCTGTTGAAAATAGTGTACTGGAAAAAAATCTATATGCATTAATAAGAACTGTACTGTTCTTATTCAATCACAATCTACCAGCTGCACCTTATGGAATAAATGAGGGTTTTGGAAGACACTAAAGAAAGTATGGGATCATAAATGGGAATTGTCTTTATTGTCATGTGCAGCTGCCTTGATCTTCTTGTCCTTTGGATTCATCAAGGAGAATTGAGCCACCCTATTGAAGGAATGAAGAAACAAAAAACTGAGAAGTTAGGGCCCCAAAGAGAATTGGGGAATTTGTCAGTGTAGAAGCCTAAGAGCAACTATATGATATAAGAATATTGGGGGAAAACAGGAGAGGTTTTTTTTCCACAATTGTTACTGGGGACTATGAATTGGATCATCTTTAATGTTAGCTGAGACACTCAAGAAAATATTGAAATTCCTATATTACTGACATCTGGTTGCTGTTCTGTACTTTGTGATTCTATAAAGAGACTGAGACACATGGATCCCCAGCTTTCAATTGGATTACATGTACTCTTGCACCTGCTTCTGTTACTTCCTCTGTGCTATTCTTTATATTCTTGCTTTCTCCTTTGCTCTCGTTTATCATCTACTTATTTATTATTTAAGTCTCCACAGTGACAAGGTTGCATATAGAGGCAGAAGTCATCATAATATGAACGTATTTACTAATAAACTCACTACTTATAAAATCAGGCCCCACACGATACTATTTGCTTAAAGCTCACATCTACTCTGCTCCCTCATCAGCATGTTTGTTGATATCAGTCACCTGCTGATTGGTGGATATTGTTAACAACAGTATATTTGACAATATAATGCGATGTGGTAAAAATTATTTACAAAATGAAATTATCTTTACAAGAGATGCAGGATTTTATGAAGTTGATAAATGTTAAAGAATTGTTTGAATCACTTGCAAAGTCATTTTGACAAATGAAAATCTAGAAATTTTTTATCTCCTAACAAAGAGAAAATCAACAAAAGGTGGCAAAGTAGGTTCCTCTGGATACAATGGTAAAAATACTGTAGTACAAAGAGAAGTCCTTGGGAAATCTGTGATGCCTTACACTTTTAGAAATGTAGCTGCAAAAATCAAAGATGTCATATGGCACTTTGACTGAATTTGCCTGAAAAATTGAAACCCCCATTTTCTTTTCACTAATTACTATGATATTTTGGTTCCTCTCTTAAGCAAATTCATCTATGCCAATTCTTGTCAAACTTCTTTTTTTTAATATTTAAGTCTGGAAGGATATGCCAAAAAATGATATGAAGTATACTTAATTCTCTCTTTTTTTGTTTTTCCTTTTTTTAATAAGTTGATGCTGTTTATATATATATATTGTAGACTGTGATTGCAAATGTTTTCAGATGCTCCATTGAGAATATAATTTTTTGTCAACATCCTTTTAAATTAGGGTTTAAATGGGTACAGGCAGTATCTGAGATGCCAAAGGTAGCTACGGACCAGAAGGAAGTCTCTAACCCACTTGAAGGTCTTCAAAGAAATATGTTATTTATAATTAAAAGTCTCAGCAACAACAATTCAACATTTGAGTATTCATTGTTGTTAACCTAGCATAGTGCTGAATACATAGAGGGGTTCAGTAGATTTTTGCCAAATGAATGGATTCTGAGGGGAAGCTGATCTAAATATGGCTGTCTCATCTGCAGTGCCCACTGAAGGTTCCTATTTCACCAGTTCTAGAGTGAGAGGCAAAAGAGGAATTATCAAGGAGGTCGCTGTCACATTGCGAGGACCAGAAGATAATACTCTACTGTTTGAATCAAGGTTTGAGAGTGGGAATCTGCAAAAAGCTGTCAGAGTGTGAGTAAGTAAAGAGGAATTTCCCACAGGAATGATGACTGAAGTGACTGAGAAGTGTCTTCAGGAATCAGGAGTGTTTTCAAAAGGGAGAGAGGTGATAAGAAATGGTTATGAAGATGAAGAAGAATGAAATAATTGTGACTCATATTTTTCCCCAAAATAAATTTATCTAAGGGATTTTTCTGCTTATAAAAGAAATCAGTGCTTATTTAAAATTTGTATTAATAAAAATACATAGCATAAAAAGTTAATGTCCTATAATCACACCTCGCAAATGCAACACCTGTTAATAGTTCAATATGTTTAATTTTTTTTCTCTCTCTATATGTGTGTGTGTGTGGTGTGTGTAATATACAGAAATATGTACATTTTTAAATATAATGGTATACATACTGTTTTGAGAATTGTTTTTTCAACTAAATAAATTGTAAATGATTTTCTAAGGCAGTACCACAGACATATATCCTTATTTTTTAATAGTTTCATATTAATTTATTGTATAGATATTCCGTATCTTATTTACCCTGGCCCCAACTGATGGGAAATTAAAATATTTACAATTGTTTAACAAATTAAAGAATTAACACCCATAATCTTTAAATATTTGAGGTTTTATAGGATAAACTTTAGAAATAAAATTGTTGGGTCAAAGGGTTTGAACACTAAGTGTTCCTAGTTTTTGCCAAATTTGCCCTCCAACATGATTTCAGTTCCCATCAACAGTGAATGAAAGTACCTCTTTCCCAAATGCTGGAATGTTGATGAGATGAAGGGAAAAATAGCATCCTATTTTAATTTGCATTTCTTTAATTATGCATGTGGATAAATATCTTTTCATTATTTTTTGTATCTGTATTTCCTCTTATACAAGTTAGTCCTGCTTCTTTTCAAGAGGTGAATGCATTCCAGAGATGCCCCCTCATCTTCAAACAATGATAACAGATAAAAACAATAGCACATCAGAGATAAAAATAATAGCTGAAGGGTCTCCTCCACAGTGGTGATGTCCAGGAGGTAGCTAACAGCCAACAGAGGGCTCTGGCTTTGCTACTGCTCAGAGTGTTTCCGAGAAATGTATGAAGTAGTTAGAAACTGCTACTGGGTACTCTAGAAGGATACCAAAAAATTCACAGAGCTCCCGAACATCCTGTGCAGCAGTATAAGTTTTGAGGCTCTTCCTGTCCTACCCCAAATAAACTTTCTTTACCCCAGTTCCTGCTAACCTAATATGTAAGTTGAAAAAGTAGGTAAATTAGAAAATAAATGCTTGATATAGCAGGCTATACTCCTGTAACAAGATCCATTTTCACCAGGGGGAAACTATTTTCCCAGATTCGTTTTTTGAGGGTTGTCTGGATTATAGAGATACTCTTCTATTTTCTCCATTACAGAGATACCTATGAGTATGAACTCACCTTATGAACTGACCTCTACATGAACAAACACACTCAGTGGTTTTATTTTCGAGTTCAGAACACCAGGAAAGATGCCACCTACCGCTTCACCATTGTCAACTTGCTAAAACCCAAGAGCCTTTATACAATAGGGATGAAGCCACTCATGTACTCCCAATTAGATGCCAACACCCACAATATTGGCTGGAGGAGAGAAGGAAATGAAATCAAGTACTATAAGAACAACATAGATGATGGGCAGCAGCCTTTTTACTGTCTCACATGGACCATTCAGTTTCCACATGACCAGGACACTTGCTTCTTTGCACACTTCTACCCATATACATACACTGACTTCCAATGCTACCTCCTGTCAGTGGCAAATGACCCCATCCAATCTCAGTTCTGCAAACTCCGCACTTTATGCAGAGGCCTAGCAGGAAATACTGTGTACCTGGTCACCATCACCAATCCATCCCGGACCCCTCAAGAGGCAGCTGCAAAGAAAGCTGTGGTCTTGAGTGCTAGAGTCCACCCTGGGGAAAGTAATGGCTCCAGGATCATGAAAGGCTTTTTGGATTTCATCCTTAGCAAGTCCCCAGATGCCCAGCTCCTCAGAGATATCTTTGTCTTCAAAGTGGTTCCCATGTTAAATCCAGATGGAGTGATTGTGGGGAATTACCGGTGTTCTCTGGCTGGAAAGGACTTGAACAGGAATTATAAAACAGTTCTGAAGGAATCTTTTCCTTCCATCTGGTATACCAGGAACATGATCAAAAGGTGAGCGCCTTTATAACTTGATCTTTCTCTGAATGCTTTCAGTACTGTCTGATGGGCCTGTGGATTGGGTATGACTTTGGAAACATTCTTTTTTTTTTTTGCACCAAGGGGAAAAGTTATTTTATTTTCTTGGAAACATTCTTTACCTTTCTCTTTGTAGTCATGTGAGCTTATTCATTTTGAAACTTTTAAATCATGTCTTGTCTTTGGGTTGAAACTGAACATGCTACAATACAACTAGGGGCATTTTGCTTACAAATGAAACAGTTGAATGGAAAAGGTCAGAAGCCAGGGAAGTTCATAAAGTCTTCATGATGAGATTTGTGTAATTGTAATAATAGTACTTATTATATATATATTATATATATTATATATATTATATATATATATAGTGCTTATGTATGAGACAATGGAGTATTCTCAGTAGTTTACAAGTACAGCACATTTAATCTTCTCATTAACTCTATGAGGTAGGCACAATCAGTATCTCCATTTTGTATATCATGAGAAAATTAAGGCCTAGAAAGGTTAAGTAACTTGCCCAAGGTCATACAGCTGGTAAGTGATGGAGTAGATATTTTAATACAGGCTCTCTGGTTCCAGAGTCTGAGTTCCTTATTACCATCTTATATTGCCTCTCATGAAGAAAGAATACTTTGAAGAAAGAATAATAAATCAACTAGCGTTTTCCAAGCCTGTGTGAAAGCAGTTGAAGGCTGTGACGTAATAGCACCTTCAAGGAGCTTTCATTTCATTGGAAATTAAGCATATAAGAATATGTGGATGCACACACCTCCTAATCAAATCTGTGTGAAAAGGTGAGAATAGCACTGGGCTGGTAGGCAAAATGGCTAAGAGCATATGTTTGGGAGTCAGGCCTGCATTAAGACCTGGTTTTACTACTGGCTAGTGACTTAGGAAGGGATTTAACCTCTCTGCACTTCAGCTTTCTTATCTGTGGGTTGGGGATAATAATGCCTGCCTTGGGTGTTTTACAATTAAATGAGATAACCCATGTACTCTGTTTAGCATAGTACCCAGCACTTTGTAAATGTGTGGCACTATCATCCTCCTTGTCCTGTCATCATCCTCATGGAGAAGGTAACCATGTTTGGACAACTGAATAGGCATCCTGGATGATCAGGAGTCAAAGGAGAGCTGAGCCTTACAGGAACTATCCCTGGAAAGTCAGGAACCATGGCTCCCTTAGGTTCTTTTTTCATCCCTGCCATTACAGCCTTTCTACCTCTGCCTCTTTCCACAGGTCTGCATCATGGTGGGCTTTCTTGCAGTAGATACTCTCCACTTCCTTGTCAGCATGCACAAAGCCCACCTGCCAGCCCTTTATACATCAGGACTTCTCCATTTCAGGTCCTTTTGACAGGCAGGGGCAAGGAGTGCTAGTGACATGATCACAGCAGGGGCTGAGCATGGGGATAGGGTCTTTTGAAGGCCATTTAACGGGTTGACATTTTCTTAGGAAGGAAGGTATCAAGTGACATACTTAAGGAAGAGGCTCTGAAAGATCCTTGATTATTTATCCATTTGCCCCCACCCCCAACAGGCTTCTTGAAGAAAGGGAGGTTCTCTTGTATTGTGATTTCCATGGCCATAGTCGTAAGAATAATATCTTCCTGTATGGCTGTAATAACAGCAATCCCAAGTATTGGCTTCATGAGCAAGTCTTTCCATTAATGTTAGGCAAAAATGCACCAGATAAGGTAAGCACGTAAGGTAATTTTCTGTCCACTGACTGAGGGAGAAGGGAATTTACTGCATCTTTTATGCAGTATTTGATTTATATATCTTTTCATTATCCTGGGTAAATCACAGCAACCTGGACTTCAAGAATTTAGAAGGTGTGGCATAAGAATTACTCTACTTCCATCAACCGATGAACAGATAAATAAAATGTAGTATATATACACAGTGAGTGTTATTTAGCATAAAATGATTAAATACTATACCATTACTCTAGGACATAGATGAACCTTGAAAGTGTTATGCTGAGTCAAAGAAGCCAGACACCAAAAGCCACATTTTGTATGGTTGTATTCTATGAAATGTTCCAAAGAGGCAAAAATCTGTAGAGACAGAAAGTTGAATGATTGTCTGGGGGTGGTGAGGGGATCAAGGCATGGGAAGTGGACTGCTTAATGGATACTGGGCTACTTTCTGGGGTAGAGAAAATGTTCTAAACTTAGCTTGTGGTGATGGCTGCACAACTTCGTGAATATACTTAAACCATTGAATTGTGTACCTTAAATGTGTGAATTTTATGGTGTGTGAATTATGTCTCAATAAAGATGATATCTTAAAATTGCTCTGGATGCTTTGCCTGGGCAAAGTTCAGTCTCCTAGTAGGCAGACTTATCTATCATCTTTAACCTTGTGGGTGGCAGTGGAAGAAAGGCTTGAAGGACACAAGAAATGCTGATGGGATATGAGCCTCCACAGACTGTTCATGTAATACAAGATCAAAAATAACTGTCTATATTAAAGGGCTAATGAAAACAACTGAGAGTCTTTCATAGTTAGCTCAGTAACACCTCTGACAGTTGGGCATATACAGATTATCTTCATTGGTTTACAAGTTGGTCTTCACCATCATTTAAATCCACAAAATGTAACTGTCCTTAGAAAGAAGAAATTAGGTTGATTTAGAAGAGTATTTAAATGATAGTGCAAATTTTCTCACATAAAAATATATGTAAGACTACGCTGATGGACAGTGACTGTGAAGGGGAATGTGGTGGGGATTTGCTGAAGGGAGGAGCCTAGTAAACAATGTTCTTCATGTAATTGTAGATTAATGATACCAAAATTAAATATATATGTGTGTGTGTGTGTGTGTGTGTGTGTGTGTGTAAGATAAGCTGAAAAGCTTCTGTAAAGCAAAGGCTACCACCAATAGAACAAAAAGGCATCCTACAGTATGGGATAATATATTCATAAATGACATTTCTGATAAAGGATTGACATCCAAAATATATAAAGAGCTCACACACCTCAACAAACAAAAAGCAAATAATCCAATTAAAAAATGGGCAAAGGAGCTGAACAGACACTTCTCCAAAGAAGAAATTCAGATGGCCAACAGGCACATGAAAAGATGCT